TTGATCTGAGCGCAGGAGATGTAGAACTGGGGCGGGCTGCCGGGGTTGTGGATACCGAGCTGCTCGATGCGGAGGAGGTACTCTCCAGCCGGGATCTGGGAGGGGATGGTGGTGGAGTAGGTAGCTAAGAAAGTGTTAGATACATTCCAGTGCGAGATTGGAGTTTGTGACTTACCACTCATGTCCCACTTGGCCTGGCCTCCGGAGAAGGTGGGTCCAATCTCCTTGATCTTGAACCAGTCGGAGGAGCCATCTGCAGCGGCAGCAGAGTCGACCTTGGTCATGTAGAAGGTGACGGGACCTTGGTGGTAGACGGCCTGGTCGGCGGTGAAGGAGACGGTGGAGCCAGCAGCGACCGAGACAGTGGTGGTGCCGCTGCCCGAGTTACCGCCAGCATTGCATCGCAGGTTCTTGTCCGCAAGGTCGGTGACGGGACTGTTGTTGGGAACGGGCCTGATGTTCTGGAAGTTGGCACCCTTCACACCGTTGGCGGTGAGCTGTTGGAAGATGTCTTGTACCTGTTAGTATATGCTGGTGCAGAATGAGTGGTGAAGTGCCATACAGTGACCCGAGGCAACGTTGGCAAAGGCCGCAACGGCGGTAGCGATAGCAATGCACTTCATGATGTGAGTTTGGTAAGTGAGAGACTGATGAGGATAGCGAATGAACTCGAAGGTGCTGATGATCTTGGTAGAGAATACGAGAGCAAAGTCCCCGGTTCTTATATGTGTTCTTCCTCACAGATACAACGCCTCGAATGGATACCACTCCATATTGCAGCACGCAGGACATGACCAGAGAGGGAAAACGTCAAGCCATGATTGGCCCAAGCATGAAACTCGAAATGAAGAAACGTCACAGGACAGGCACGATGGGTACCGCAGGGCGGCAAAGAACCCGGGACGTGAGGTGGAGTGTGGATACTCATTGCCGGTGGCAGTTCGTAGAATTTTCCTTCTGGAACGACCTTGTGACAGCCTTCGACGAGGCGAACAAGTGATGGTATGGCAGGTAATATCGCGAGTATGGGGGCTTGACATGCAGGACTGCAGGTCATTGGTCATGCATGCACGAAATGTGCATACCCGACGAATAGGAAAAGCGCATGTGCCGACGACGGTGGGTTCTATCCGTCGGAGCTAGAGACTGGCGCATTCGCTGGAACTGTACGACACTGGACGCCTAGGATAGATTAATATCTGGGGTAATATGTTTTTAATCACCATGGTCCAAGCTAGAGCGGAACTTGAGGCGATGTGAAGAAAAAGGAAACAACACCGATTCGTAATGTCCACCGAAACTGGTTGTCGCACATGTACACCGGTGCACTACGGCAAAATATGAGTCTTGTCTGAACGTCTGAGGTGTTGTTGTTTGTGTGAACGACTCGCAACGGCGTAGATGTTTCATGCCGAGTCATGCGGTTGACGCAACGGGATGTCGAACGACAAACGAGGCGATGATTGCCACAACCTCTATCGCTTGAAACAGGCACCTGAAAACTTGTATATTAATCTTGCTGAAAGGTTTTTTGTGCAAGGTCTTGCATATGCAGGCTGAACCGTTTCTTCGAGGTTGATCGAGCAATCGATGTGGCGGGTGGCTGGTCAATTTCCCATCTCTTGTCGCGAACTTGGACAAAAGCAACTCTGGAAATCAAAGGGTTGCTCGCTTGCCTTGTGGATCTGGAGTAAGGCCCGCTCTTCCTGTGCCAGGTCGGCAGCGTGGATGTGAGTTCTCTAGAAGTGGGTTCCAAGGTTCGCTATCGCATACACGTTTCCTTTCGTTGCGAGAAACAGCAGATCTCCAGCATTTTGATGTTTGTGGTGCTGAAGAGATCGCAGGTGATGGCGCGTCACCGGAGTAGTCAAGCAGGCGCGTTTGGTGAGGCCCAGCCCCCTGCGAACGTTACTCTGTCGCGCAAGCCAGGTACGAATGCTCGCTGCGCCGTACAGGCTATGTCAAAAGCGCTGGAATAGGATTTGTACCCCTATGTATAAAGCAAGGTAACGCATCAGCTTCGATACGCGCCTGTGGTTCCTAGGTTTACCTGGCTTCCGCGACAGCGCTAGATGCCTTGGTAGAGCTTCATTCAACATACGTACCTGGAATATCGTTATCGGACCAAGTAAATTCACATGAGGCCCAAATTGCACAGCTCGAGAGCGTTCGCTGGAAGCTTGCCACGTTGAGGGCATGGGAGCGACTTCCAAGGCTGGGACCTTCCAAGGTCGGGAAGCGGGGTACGACACGTGATCCCGTTGCACGTCGCGTCGCCATCGACATACGCCTAGTACTGACACGGAAAGTCCATGCGGAAACTGTACGAAGATTCGCCAGATCCACAGTCTTATCACATCGAATGTTGTGTTAGGGCAACAGCGTCGGTAGTTCGAGCGTTATAAGCCATCCTTCCATAGTCAACTTCTTCTACTGTCCATCTTTCAACTCTTCGTCGATTTCGTGTTCTCAATTGTTCGTTGCGAGAAAATGTCTGCAGAAGTCGCCACTGATCCTAGTCCGCGGAGCGAGAAATCGGTATCTGCTCATCCATTCTCCCCGCTATCGGCATCAGAACTCCAAGATGCTGCGGCAATCATCAAAGCTTCATGGCCAGCGCACACAGACCTGCATTTCAAGGTCGTGACGCTGCAGGAACCACCAAAAGTCGAGGCACTGAAATATCTAGAGGCCGAGCATAGCGGCAAGCCACTTCCGTCAATCGCGAGAAAAGCTTTTGTCAATTACTACATCCGGAACACTGTACGTGCAAAGATGTTGGAAATATGATTCGCGGCTAATTAGTCGGCAGAACAAATTCCACGAGGCTGTTGTGGACTTGACCTCACGTCGCGTAGATCGCAACGTCCTTCTAGGGCCCTTTGTCCATGCCAACGCGGATGGCGATGAAATCGTCGCTATCGAGAAACTTGTCCTGACCGATGAGAAAGTACAAGCGGAGATTGCCAAGCTCGAGCTCCCCCAAGGCACAGTAGTAATCAGCGACCCATGGATCTACGGGTCCGACGGCGTTGGAGACGAAGATAGGCTGTGGCAATGCTTCCTATACCTCAGGGACCCGATGAACTCATCAGAGGCCGACTCCAACCACTACGCAATGCCGCTTCCTATCTCGCCAGTGGTGAGCACAGAGAAGATGGAGGTCATTCGCGTTGATATACTACCGACTGGTGCAGGCAACACCATCAAGCCGGTTGAAAAGTACAAGATCCAACCGCCCAACGAGTACATACCCGAGGCCCAACAACTGCGGACCGATCTTAAGCCGCTTAATGTTATCCAGCCAGAAGGTGCTAGCTTCCAAGTCGAACAGCAAGGCACATCAAATGTCATCTCATGGCAGAAATGGAACTTCCGCGTTGGTTTCAACCAGCGTGAAGGTATGGTACTGTACGATGTCCGTTACGACAACCGCAGCTTGTTCTACCGAATGAGCCTTTCAGACATGAACATTCCGTACGCCGACCCTCGTCATCCCTACCATAAGAAGAGCGCCTTCGACTTGGGCGATGTTGGTGCTGGTATCATGGCGAACAACCTCAAGCTGGGCTGCGACTGTCTGGGCTCCATCTACTATCTCTCTGCCGTACTCGCCGACAACCACGGTGGGTCTGTGGAGATGCCCAACGTCGTATGCGTCCACGAGCAAGATGCTGGAATCGGTTTCAAGCACACTAACTACCGCACCGGCCGCGCAGTCGTCGCTCGAAACCGGGAGTTGGTGCTCCAGAGCATCATTACCGTAGCCAACTACGAGTATATCCTAGCCTTCATCTTCAACCAGGCCGGAGAAGTCGACTACGAAATCAGGGCTACTGGCATCCTAAGCACGCAGCCTATTGACGAAGGTGTCGAGGTGCCCTTCGGTACAGTCGTGCACCCCGGTGTACTTGCCGTCCACCATCAACACATCTTCTCATTGCGCGTCGACCCCATGATAGACGGGTATGACAACAGACTCGTGTACGACGAGGCGTTCCCGATGCCGCGCTCGGACTTCAACCCCCACGGTACTGGCTACTACGTTCAAGAGACGGTTGTAGACAAGTCTGGCGGCTACGACATCGCATACGAGAACAACCGCACCTTCAAGATCCAAAACCCGAACGTGCGAAATCCCATCAACGGAAAGCCAGTCGCATACAAGATCCAAGCGCCGCCGTTCCAAAAGATCCTTTCCGATAAAGACTCGTTCAACTACAAGCGCGCCGAATTCTCCGACCATAACATCTACGTCGTCAAGCACAAGGACGGCGAATTATACGCCGGCGGTACCTACACGAACCAGAGTCGTGGTGGAACGGGAGTGCGGAGTTGGGCGGAAAGGAACGACAACGTCAAGGACACCGACTTTGTCGTTTACATCCAAGCGGGCATTAACCACGTGCCTCGTATCGAGGATTTCCCTGTCATGCCATGCGAGATCATCAAGATCCATATGAAGCCGGTCAACTTCTTCGATAAGAACCCTGCGCTAGATGTACCGCCGAGTGAGCAGGCGTTCAACAAGAGCAGCTTATTGAGTGAGCAGCACCAGCAGCCGAGTGTTACTGCGACGATTGGTGAAGATGGTACGTGTTGTGCGCCGTCGGCGGCAAAGCTGTAGAGCTGTAGTTTTCACGAATTGAACATCCTCACGAAACATTGCGAAAATTATTTGTGAGATACCATGCGATGGTCCAAATCCAAGATTGATATCGATGCAAAGCCACGAGCTCGAAAAAGAATGTAAATATAGTAGGATGCGTTCAGATTGTGGACGAACCGTGTCCAACCTTGGAAAGAAGAGTTGGTCGTGTGCCTGCTCAGCAGGTAAGACGCGCCAAGCCCAGAGTCGCGCTAGTCACGGTCCAAAGCTCATGCGTCGCGGAACCTTCGAAGCCTCAAAGAAACACTCACTCGATCTCCCGCGATATCCCGACCCTCTTTCACCGTGTACCTTCCAGCGATCTCTTCATCAATATCGAGTCTGCAAAGCGATGGCGCCCAACGACAAAGCGGGCAGAGTTGTTTTCATCGGCAACATTCCCTACGGTATGCGAATGCTCACCCTGGCGCCTACATTGACGCCAGATCTTCCAAATCTGCCTCTTTAACACCACTGTAATCCTGAACCGAGCTAATAAACCCAGGCGGCACTGAAGAGCTCATCATCGAAACCCTCGGGCGCGTCGGACAGGTGCTCAACTTTCGCTTGGTGTACGACAAGGAAACCGGGCGCCCCAAGGGCTTTGGGTTCGCAGAGTTCGCCGACGCTGACGCCGCAGCCTCGGCCGTGCGCAACCTCAACGACTACGATTTGATGGGCAGGAAGCTGAGGGTCGACTGGTCCAACGAGAGCGGCTCCGGCGACAACGCGCCTTCCAACCGCGACCAGACTACACAACCAGCCATGAACGGCCAACAACCAGCAGCACCAGCACCGGCGCAACCGTCGAGCGCGCTGGGCCCTCTCCCACCAGGCGTCGAGTTGCCGCCCAGTCTCACCTGCCCCGATGCCATCTCGCGCACGCTCTCCACGCTGCCCCCCGACCAGCTCCTCGACATCCTCTCACAGATGAAAGGCCTCGTCATGACGGATCCTGCCAAGGCGACAGAGCTGCTGCGACAAGCGCCCCAGCTGGCCTACGCCATCTTTCAGTCGCTACTGCTCCTCCAGCTGGTCGACCCACAAATCCTGACCTCGCTTGTGGAGACATCGGCCGCGCCTGCCCCAGTTGCGCAGGCTCCACCTGTTCAGCAAGTACAGCAGCCACCACCGCAAGTTGCGCGACCGCCTGTGAACTACCCCGGATACCCACCACAAGTCGCGCCTACACCTCCCCAACCTCAAGCTCCCGTCGCACAGCCGTACGCGCAGCCTCCACAGCAACAGCAACCACAAGCACCTGGAATGGACCAGCAGGCGCTCTACGCACAGGTCATGGCTCTGTCGCAGCAGCAGATTGACCAGCTAGCACCAGAGCACCGCGCGCAAATCCTGCAAATACGGCAGATGTTGATGGCTGGTGGGCGGCCCTAGTTACGCCGAGACTTCCAGCAGCATTATAAGAAGCGGAAAGTTTGCCTTGGTCTTGCTATGAAAGACCGCTTGTTCCACGAGCGGGGTGCGGAGGTCCTTTGGTGCATACTACGCGACGTAGGACAGAGCACAACACAACCTGATCTCATCGCACGGATCTTACTGGAAATCATGGAATACCCCGATCGCTCTTTAAGGGCGCAGTGCTTGAAAGAAGCGATGTTCACATATGGCTTGTACAGCATGAACACTCTCCCAGAAGAAAGCGAGACCTGGGAAATGATGAGTCGTAATCTGGATGGAGCATCAGACTCTGGATTCGAATCGGATGACTCAGGCTATGCAGATGGTGATGGATTGGACGTGCAGAAACGTGAAGGAACATGTGGAGTGTAATGAGTGGCTCCTCAGAAGGGCTGCACAGCACAGTCGCGAATAGATGCACACAGGTCGCACAAGCCTGATTAATGCAAAAATGGATTCAATGTCACACGCGCGCCTTGTTTTTGTTGTAATCCTTGTCGATGCGACTGGGTGATGTTTGACTATCAACGATCGGGTTTAAAGATTTCGGCGGCCTAACCAACATTGAACATGCAAGATAACTACACTGATGGCCTCGGAAATCTCCGCGCGCCTTGACTGTGTCGGATGAAGGTCGTGGGAGGAGCTCGCAACACGCAGCAAGAGCTACTACTAGCTACCAGAACCACAAGCCTAGATTTCCGCGCCCCAGGCTGCACAGTTCACTTTGATCAACATGTTCTCGATGACAGCGAGAACAGCCCCGGAAGAAGCCCCGGTAAAGATCCGCAGAAGAAGCGTTTGCCATCGGGCAGCTATTGGCCCAGCCTCGCCTCCATCCCGTGTGGATCGAGCTAACCCTTGCCGCCAACTCACTCGGTTGCTGGGGCTTACGTCCCAAGCCGAGCACTTCAGCTGCTCTGCACCACACCAATCTTTGCGATTAGTACCGCGAGAGGCTGCTTTGGTTGTCCTTGGGCATTGCGCGCATACTTTCCTAGCCATTCTGCATCGGAAACCTGTACTATATCATCACGACATGACGATTTGAACGATTCTCTCTCACTTGCGACTGTCTGCAGCGATATACCCAGCATATCCCACCAAGAGACTCATCTCATTTGCGCCCGACCCATTGCCAGCACCACTTTGTAATAACAACGCATCCGCGCCCCCGCGATCCTGACTGCAGTCCTGCGCCATCATGTGGAGCAGATTGACCGGTAGCTCTGCTGCCTCCAACAGCAACAAGGACGAGGAAAGTCGCCGCCGCCGTACTAGCGACTCCACGCGTTCCAAGCGCGACCCAGACGCCCGCTCCGTCGTGTCATCCTCGACGACGCGCAAGCCATCGACATCGACCTCATCTAAACGTGACACTGCGCCTTCCGCGTCTTCGATTGCCTCCTTCACGACTGCCTTCGACGAGATGCCGCGCTCACGGGCCACAACAAACAACACGAGCGGTCCCTACGACGACGACAACATGCGTCGCGACGATCGCCGCAGCAGCTATGCCGAGTCGTCCAGCTCGACACTGCGCGACGACAAGGACCGCAAGACGGGCAAGGCCAAGGACAAGAAGCTCGAGAAGCGCCGCTCGACGCGCTCAGTGCGGTCCGGCAGCACGTCGCAAACTGGCGCCGGCTACAGGGGCGAGATTGTTGACAGTCCCAAGTCGGTCCAGCGCAGCTTCAGCGGCCAGATTGGCAGCGACGGCTTCTCGCAGTTCCCAGGACAGGCAGGAGCGCCCATGATGTCGGGCGCTCTGCCAGTAGGAAGCCACCCACCACACCACGACGACATGGACGATCACGTGCAGAGCCAGTTCCCCGGCCAGGACCCTCTGCGATACACCTCGAGCGCGCTCCCTGGCGGCCATCCATTCGGAGCGGCTGCCGACTTCTACAACGACCAGGGCCAGTCAGTGCACCAACAGCCTGGCGTGAGGCCCCAGCCGCCCTCTGTCATCATAGGACAGGATACCCCCCATCTCATGTCTGCCTCCGCGCAGCCCAACCCGGTTGCCGACACCGGATCGGGCGCCGCTGCAGACTTCTACGGGCCCAGCACAAATGGCTCTTCATCCAGGCCTCCACGACCATCGAGCTCGTCCATGCCCGGTGCCTTCGTCGACGACACCCCGACGCCCCAGAAACCACCGCGACCCGCATCTTCGTCGAGACCCAACAAGTCGAGCACCTTCGGCCCAGCTGCTACTGCGGCCGGCGGAGCTGCCCTGGGATATGCCATGGGCCACAGCTCCTCTAATCACGAACACACCACGAGCTACAGCTCATCGAATGTTCGCCCTTCTACATCATACTCTTCTTATACTAATAATACCCCCCCGGCTGCTCCGGCTTCCACGTACAACATGTACGGCCCGGGATCTAATGCTTCTAATACCGCTGCCAACGACGGCAGCTACCTCCCACCCTATGCTGCAGCCGCCGCCTACGGCGTGGAAGGCGCGCCTCCTCCAAAGCCACCTCGGCCAGCCAAGCCAGAAAAGCACTCGTCTGGCAGCATGGCTGGACTGTACGCTGCTGGCGCCGCAGGACTGGCGGCTTATGGCTTAAACCAACATAATTCACATTCACACACCCACTCCAACACCCACACACACTCGCATAGCACACACCATCACCCGTCGGCGCACGGCCCGAACGGACATCATCAGAATGGCCTTACGCCCAGTCCATACATCTCAGGCGGCATGGCTCACCAGCATCAGCACACTGGGCCTGTTTCCAAGTTTGTCGACTGGTGGAAAGACTACGAGGATGTGCAGAAGATGGAAGAGTACACCGAGTACATTGGAGTTTGCAAGGGTTGCTTTGACCCTCGCTCTTCCGTTCTGGACGCCCCGCGGAAGCACCACTACTACAAACGGCGATCCAATGAGTTCATGCGACCCACTGGTGGCATTGAGAAGCAATCTCGATACTCGCTCAAGGAGAAGAAGTCTTGGGGCTCAATCTCTTCGGGTGAGGAGCGTCGCAAGAACAAGAGCAGCGCCGCGGGCTGGGTAGCTGCAGGCCTGGGCGGCATTGGCCTTGCCAAGGCTGGAAAGGCTGTCTTCAGCGCGGGCCGCGACGACTTTGACGACACATACAGCATCAAGTCTGGTCGGTCGAGGGTCTCACGACACAGCCGCAGCAGATCAGGGGATCGCAAGAGTTACAGCTATGGCAGCTCTGGCATCCGCCACCGGAGCAATTCCGCCGACCGCATTTCCGTGATGTCCGTGGGCGTTACGAGCGACAAGAAGGACCGTAAGGATCACAAGGTTGTTCGCCGTCAGTCTCGGTCGCGCCGTTCTCGATCAAGCTCAACTTCAAGCTCCAACTCAGGACGCGGCAAGACAGGCCTGATCGGCACTGCCATTGGTGCAGGTCTTGCAGGAGTCGCCCTTGGAGCGGCCACAAAGAAGAAGCAGCACAGTCGATCCAGGTCCCCGAAGAGGGTTCAAGTGGTTCATCACCGCAGAGACAGCAGTGACGATGAGCGTCGTAGGAGAAGATCGCATTCACTCCGACACAAAGCATCTCGAAGCTCAACATCCGGAGCCTCTGTCATCGAAATTGGCCAGAATCACGAGTCCCAGGGTGGCTTCCTTGGAGGCTTCTTCTCTGCACCTCCACCAAAGGAGAAGCGAGTGAAGACAGCCAATAGCCTGAAGAAAAAGAAGAAGGGCTTCTTCAGCTTCAGCAATGCTTCAACATCCTCATCCGACTCCGAGATGGCATTCGGCACCGGCTACGTAAGGAGGACGCGGAGACGATCATCGCCGAAGAGACGAAACTCGGATGAGCGACTGAAAGCTTCGCTACTTGGTCTTGGCGCTACGGCTGCTGCTATCACAGCCGCGAAGGCCGGCAAGGGCAAACGCCACAACGAGATCGTTGCTGTTAAGGAGAACCGTCTTGGTCGCAAGACAAGTCAAACTTCGCGGCCCGCCTCACGTTACGGGGACGACGAGTGGGAGGACTTGCCAGACGATGGTACTTCCGACTCCTCGAGTGATGGCGGTCTCGTATACGGCGATTATTCCCTGAAGAAGACCAAGAGCAACGAGTCTATCGGATCCAACCACTCAGGTACGAACAAATGGGGCTGGCGATGGGGCTTTGGCAAGAAGAGAAGGTCTTCCAACAACCTCTACGACAACATCGCTAGTACATCGCTCATTGGGCCTGCCGCAGCTGGCGCAGCAGGTGCCTTGACCGGCGCAGCTGTTGGAGCTGCCCATGGACACCACGACAGCGAGTCTAGCAGCGCTCAAACATTGCAGTCGGTCTATCCTGTTGCACCCCATGACCCCAATGCGTCGTTCGATGCACGCCGTACAAGCTCTATCGTCACCAATCAGCCTATTGTCACCTCAGGACCTGGTCCCATCCCCATTCAACACCCTCAGCCAGTGCAGCAAGTCCCCGGCGCCATCTACTCAACACAGGCACCATCACAATCTGGGTACACCACAGCAGGTCCTTCAGACTTCCCACCAGCACCTTTCCCACCTCCTTATCCCACGCAGTCTCAAGTTCAGAACATTATCATCCAAAGTCCTCAGCATCCTCAATTCCGTCGGGCAAACTCTTCTCCCATCCAAAGCTCCTCATGGAGGCGAGATGCCTCTATTGCTGGACTTGCAGCGACTGCCGGATTTGCAGCAGTTTCTGCGATGAAACACCCCGACCGACCTCCGAGCCGACCGCCGTCCGCGTCTAGCAATGTTCGCTTCAACTTGACACAAGAGCAGGCCGAGAAGGACCTCCGTGAGCGACGCAAGGAGCAGGAGCGACTGGACGAGGAGGCCGAGCGTCGCCGAGAACAACAGAGACGCGAGGACGAGGCGCGCCGGGAAGAGGAAGACCGAGTGCGTCGAGAACAGCTGCGACAAGAGGAAGAGGCCCGGCGAGCGGCACTTGCGCTCCGTGAGGAAGAGGATCGCCTGCGCAAAGAACGGCAGCTGCAAGAGGATGAGGCTCGACGGATTGAAGAAGACCGCCGGCAGACATTGCTCCGTTTGGAGGAAACGACACGCCAAGAAGAAGCGCGACGCCGAGACGAAGACGAGCGACGTCGCCTGGAGTTGCAACGGCAGCAGGAGGAGGCTCGCAAGTTCATGGACATCGAACGATTGGCGAGGCTCGAGAACGAACGCCGTCGCGAACAGCAAGAGGTCCAGGCACGCCTCGCTCGGGAAGCCGAAGACCGCGAACGTCATCAACGAATGTCCGAAATGGAGCGTCAGCGTCAGCTCGCCATCGAGGCTGCGGAGGCTGAGCGCAAACGGAGAGAGCGCCGTGAATCTCAACAACAAGAAGCTGAGCGCATCGATGCCGCGAGACGCGAAGCTGAGATTCAAGAGGACATGGAGCGCCGACGCAGGGAACGCGAAGCTCAGGACTACACCGACCGATACGAGAGCGACCGAGCTCGTAAGCTTGAACAGCAGCCAACAGGAGATTCAATGGCTTCGACTGCCACCGTTGTACAACGCAAGGAGCAGGAGCTGCAAGACCGCGAACGCGAGGCTTTCAAGTCTGACAAGAAGTCTTCCGTTGCTGGCGCAGTAGCTGCTGGTGCTGCAGCAGCAATCGCAACTGCTGCGATCAAGGACTACAAGGACAACAAGGACAAAGAGAAGGAGAGGGAGCGCGAGAAGAAGCGCGACAGCAAGTCTTCGTCTTCAACGAAGAGCAGCAAGAGCGAATCCTCCTCATGGAAGCGCAGCAAGAACGATTCTTCTTCGTCCAAGAGCAGCAAGAGTGAATCTTCATCCTCGAAGAGCAGCAAGAAGCGGGAGCCAACCAGTGTCAAGACTATCGAGCCCAGCAAAGTCAAGCAGGACATTTTTGACGAGGACATCTTCAACCCCGATATGTTTAAGCAGAAGGACAATTCACGCCAGGAAGCTCGCGAAGTCCTTCAAGATTGGGAACAAAGGTACTATGCAAAGCCAGTATCTCAAGCTGAATTCTTCGCACCGGAAGAGCTCTTGGCCAACGACAACCTGCCCAAGGTCCGCCCAGTAGACCCGAACGAGGGCGCTCCAGATCTACCCATCAACCAATCCTGGGAAGACTATCCTGTCAGCCAGCCCAAGCTCCCTCCTTATCCTCCGTCGTACGCATTCACTGCCACCAGAAATGGTCGGTCCTCTCAACCCCAACCGCTACCTCAAGTTCCATCGCTGAACCTCATCTTGCCTACTCCTCCCGGTAGTCGCACACCTTCTGTGCGCAGTGCATCTGCCCCTCCATCACCAGCAATGGAGCCTATCAGGGAGACTAGAGAGACCAGACGCGAGCCAAGAGATGACGAATCGAACCGAGCAAGATCTAGGGTAAGCTGGGGCGAGAACCAGTTCCACCACTTTGACGTCCCTACTCCGGAGTCCTACCGCGAACAATTCGTCTCAGATGGCGATCTCAGGTCGCGTGAAGCCACGGTCGAGCGCGAGCCGCCCAAGCCCGAACAGACGACGTCCACCTACACACCCTACCGCCCCGAGATGTCCAGAGTCCCCGAGAGTAAGGAGTCTGCACCAAGCACGCAATACATTCGGGACGAGAAGGACTCCAGTTGGGACAGTGTCGTGGATGCTGCTTCCAAGAAGAGCAACAAGAAGGAGAAGAAGTCAGCAGCAGCGGCAGCAGCTGCAGCACTAACGACTGCAGCGGTTCTTTCCCGAGATCAACGAGATCAAGAGGACGAGCGTAGCTACAGACGCGACAATCCAACTGCATCTGCCCTGAGCAACCCGACTGCATCAAACCTCAGCAGTGCGACTTCCTACGATTTCAGCGATCCAACTGCGTCTACCGTCAGCACTGTTGTCAGCAATGCCACTGCAGCTGGATTCAGCAATCCTACCGCGTCTTCCCTCAGCAACCCGTTCTCTGATGGAAACAGGGCCCCTTCAACTATCGCTCCATCGATCATCTCAGCTGCGCCATCTTCCACAGTCACTCCTTCCATCATCTCAGCTGTGCCATCTACGAGCAGCGTTCAGACGGCATACTGGCAGCCTGAGTCAGAGCGCGACGCGTGGAGGACGCCCCAACAGAGTACAGTGGGACCTGGCTTTGTTGAAGGCGAGATTCCTACACCGCCAGTGTCTATGCACATGCCCGGCGGCTGGGACGACATACCGGACCCTGAGGTACTCGCAGAGGAGCCGCCGGCATCGTCCGCGAAGAAGGACACAAAGGGTAAGAACAAGGCTAACGATACTGACGAAGTTATAGCTATGCAGAATGTTTCTCGACGTGGAGAGCCAACACCTGCAGTGAAAGAGAGGGAAGCGGAGCCAGAGGTCAAGCTCAGCAAGAAGGAGAAGAAGGACAAGAAGAAGAAGTCCAAGTCATCGAAGCGAGCCAGTGTGGACACTTGGGAGATGAGTGATCCCAGTCCGCCATCAAGCCCGATAATGGACCGCGATCCCAGGGACATCGAGCCCTCCCGAGATCCCAGGGATATTGAGCCTTCTCGATCTGCTGAGACCTCACGATTCGCCGACTCTTCTCGCTCCACTGAGCCTTCTCGATCGGCCGAACCACCACGTCTAGGAGAAGCATTCCAAGAGTCCCCCAGTCCTCCGAAGAAGCCCGCGCGACAAGGTGAGAGCAGCGGCAGTAAAGCCTCCACCGCTGCCATGGCCGGTGGTTTCGCTGCTCTAATGGGCATGACTATGAACCAGGATCAAAACAGAATGGCCTCAGATGCCGAGCGTGCCAGGAAGGATCTTGAGTCCACAGAGAAGCACCATTCACGCGACTCTCCTGTATCTCCACCGAATGGCGCACGTGCACTCGAACGAAATGAGAAGAATGTGACCATCCCAAGTTACGCATTCGAGGGTGTTGAGGAGCTGGCCGATAAGACACCCAGGCCGAAAGTCCAGAAAAGACACAGTAGCGGCAAATGGTCACCTAGCATCAGTTCTCCTCTCAGGACCGAGACGACGTATGACGACTACATAAACGCCCGCACCATTCCCGATCCTTCCAGATATCAAACGATGGTCGAGGCCCCAAAGGTTCCCACCGCAGCGCCGTTCACGATGGCGCATGATCCAGTCACCGCTCGTAACGTAACCGACTCTGGGTACTATGCTCCCGACGACGTGCCGAGCCGGGCGGGCAACGATAAAGAATCGAATGGATTCTATCCCGCAGACTTCAACGAGGAGGCAAAGGACAGGCACTCACGAAACGATCGCGACCAGGATGTCGATGACAGATACGATGATGACTTCGACGACAGACCACGCAGGTACGATGATGACGATGTGGGCTCAATCGCTTCTCTGAGCTACAAGTACGACGACCCCGATCGCGAGGAGAGACGCCGCAGACGTCGCGAAGCCAAGTCCGAGACACGTGAGAAAAGCCACGACCGCGGTTACGATCTTGAAGAGGGTGGAGAACGGAGGCGAAGACATCGCCATCATGAGGCTGATGAGGGCGCTGACGACTGGGACACGAAATCCGCCATCTCCGAGACTGGCGAGCGACGACGCAAGCACAGGAGAAGGGATGGCGACAGAGACGCATCACCCGAGACCAAGACTAGATCACGCTCCACAGCAGCTTCCGAACTCGGCGACTACGATGACGATCGCAAGTCCTCCCGGAGACGATCCAAACGAGATGATGACATGGTTTCCGTCGTATCCTCAATCCCAGATCTAGACGAGGATCGCAGTTCAAGGAGGGAGAAGGAGAAACGTCCAAGTGGCTTCCTGGGCCTTTTCGGCAGCAAGTCGAGGGAGAACTTGAAAGAAGCTTCAAGCAAGTCCTCGAAATCTAAGGACGACGACGATGAAGAGCGCAAACATCGTAGACGGAAGCATCGGTCGGATCGCGGTTCTACCTACGGCGGCTCAGACGATGATGACATGCGCTCCACGATCTCGACCAGTAGTCGACGCGAAAAGAGGAGCAGCCGCAGTCGTAGCGAGAGAGGAGACGGAGACAGGACGGATGCTTATGATGACAAGGTACATCGCTCTTCTCATGTGCGATAGCACCGTTGTTCGCAATGTATTTAGAATGAATGTTGATGTCGTGTTTATAGGATCTCTTACCACCTCGAACCCCGCCCTCGCATGCCGATGAACAGCAACAACCACAACAGCAGTCTTTTTTAGGCGATCGGGCAGTGACCACAGCCACTCCAAGTCCACTGCCCGTAAGTGAGCCTGTCGATCAGGCCCACGAGGGTAGTGGCATAATCCTTGGAGATCGGGCCGAGTTTCCTCTTTCGACCTCGGATGATGCCCAACGCTTCACCGCCTCTGGAGACAACGACCTACCGCCCGAACTATCGTTCGAAGACAGCCGCGCGCTTCTAACTCGTCTGACAGGCCTTCAGCCTTGGCAGCTGGAAGCTTTCCCCGATGAGCTACCTCCGCTGCCGCTGTCTAGGCCAGGTTCACCAACACGTTCGCCAGACGTCACACGTCCTTCGACTGCGATTTCTCAACGTCGACTATCTTCAACGGCAGTTCCCATACGCTTCCGCAAGCCCGTTATACCCTCTACCGTTGACCCTAGCTTAGCAGCTGATCCTCTTCCTGGCCCTTCACCAACCCGTTCTCGCCATGGCAAGACGCACTCCACAGAGTTTAGGAACTCTCGAGAGTTCCGACCTTTGTATCTGGTGGAGCGCAACCGCAAGTCCAATGAGATCGATGAGGTGTTGCCAGCACTTCCACCCAGTAGTGCTTCTTCAGTAGTCTCTGGCGCGGATTCAGAAGAAGAGTTTGAGTCTGCTCAAGAGTCACCTTATGAGAGCGCTGGACAGTCATCTTATGACTCATTTTTCGATCCTTTGAGTACCGTAGCCGACCTCATTGCGCCCAGCCATGGACCGGAGGTTCAGCATCCCGAGCTTGCCCATCGCGAGATTGAAGAGGTCGAAGAATCTGGCCAAGCTACACCCAAGGCCTCTGACTACTTCACAGGTGCGCAGGAAGCGTCGGCACCGTCTAGCGGTCCAAACTATGAATCGCTTACTGCGGCACTGGAGCATGCCAGAGCACAGGAACAGGATTCGTCCACCGACGATTTCATGTCGACTTTGACCTCCCCACAGGCGGAGACTCCTCTTGAGACAAGCGCGCCGCTCGACGACAAGATAATGCGCGACGTTCCTGAATCACGCGACACTACTTCTGCCCCATCGAGCAGCTCATCGAGACTCCAAGACGCTGCTCTTAGCGCAGTAGTAGGTGGTTTGACAGCAGCTGCTTTGCGAAAACGCTCTCCTTCACCAACTCGATCTCAGCGCGATGACACCAAAGACAAGGCTTCGTCCGCTGCTGAGCCAGAGCAACCTGAGCCGGAAACCATCGAACCTGTTGTCGAACCATCGCCAAAGGGCAAGGGTAAGGCCAAGAAGACCAAGAAAAGTAAGAAGGGCAAGGAGCCCGTCGCCGCCGAGTCTCCCGTATCCCCGTCGCCTGTTATCCCATCACCCGTAGCTCAATCACCCGAGGAGATAATCAAGCCATCGCCCTCCTTCAGCTTCGCCACTACGTTTGTTGACAACGAAGAAGATTGGGTCAAACACAGGACTGAGTCCGTCGTTACGGACGATGCTACGCTTGTTGGTGAGCCTGTCGGAACGCCCAAGGATACCAAGGCCTTTCGACAGAAGGTTTTGGACACTACTGCACCAAAAGAGGACGAATCCACCGAGGTTCGACGCGCCGTCTTTGATATCCCTCAAGAAACTGCGAGATCAATCGAATCTGTTGAAGAGGCAAAGCAGGGTCTTGGGATCACTACCGAACCGGCTGCTACAGCTGTCGAAGTTTCACAAGACGCCCCTGTCGAACCCAGCTCTTCCAAGTCTGCTGAACCCTCAATTCCTGAGCCGGTCATCGAGGAGGAAGTTGCGACTACACCCAAGTCCAAGAAGGCGAAGAAGAACAAGAAGGGTAAACGCGGCAACAAGCAAGCTGAGCCCGAACCCGAGCTCGAACCTGCAGCTCTACCGGAAGTTCCTACGCAAGATGACCAGGTCTTGCCTTCGTCAGAGTCGCAACAAGACACCATTGAACGTGATATCCTCGAGCCATCTTTCGAACGCGAAGAGCCCAAGGACAAGGTTGATGTCATGGATTTCTTGGTTCAAGAAGAAGTACCAGCCACTTCGACTGATGAAGCAGTTTCGCAAGAGGCGGTGCCTGCACCTACTGCTCCAGCAGTCCCCGAAGAACCACCAGCTCCCTCGACCGACGAAGCAGTCCAGCAAGCGACAGAGCCTGTACCCATTACTCCAGCAAACCCCGAAGAGCCCAAGTCGGAAGTTACAGCTGGGCCTGCCACACCAGAGGTTCCAGCTCGGCCTAGCACAGCTGACGGCGCCGAACAAGCCAAGAACACTCCCGTCGAAGAAAACCGCCGAGCCTCTGGGATCGAAGGGCAATCGGCAGGTTCAGGCTGGGGTTCCGGCCTGTGGGGTGCTATTGGATGGGGCAAGAAGAAGGCCCCGCCGCCGCCAACATCCGAGCCTCCGTCTTCTCCGAAGCCCCAATCTGCCGTCCTCGCCGCACTAGCTGCAGCCAGAGAAGAGGCCAAGCGCAAGTCACAACCATCCTCACCAACTGTGTCTGAGAGGAAGAGTTCCAAGTCTGAGAAGAGGCCTTCCATCTCCCGAGTGAAGACGCAGGATGAGACGTCAAAGCCGGAGTTGCTGCAGAAGATTGAGTCTAGGAGATCGTCTGTTCCTACACAGCGACCTACTGAGGCTACGACCCGCGAAATTGTCAAGGAAGAAGCTAGCTCGAGCACCACAGCTCCCACTGCGATCTTCACTGATGATGGCAAACCCTCTTTCGCATTCCCTCAGGCTTCCACGGCGCCTCAACAACTATCTATCGAGACTCCCAAGGAGGCTCCTGTCGTTGAAGAGAAGGCTACAAAGCAATCTGAGGATGCCACTCCATCTACTGCCTTCTTCACTGACGACGGCAAGCCGTCTTTCACGTTCCCACCAGTATCCACCAAGCCTGCAGCTGAGCCAACGACCGAGCCTGAAGAGGCACCTGTTGCCAAAGAGGAAAAGAGCCCTGCTTTTGTGTCCCCGCGTACCGCATTCTTCACCGACAACGGCAAACCATCGTTCACATTCCCGAAGACGTCACCCGCCCCCGCGGTTGAATCAAGCGTCGTATCTAGAGAAGTTCCAGTCGCGAATGATACACCAGCTCCTGTTGATGTCTCGCCACGCAATGCTTTCTTCACAGATGATGGGAAGCCTTCGTTTTCGTTCCCTTCGATCCCATCTACGACTACCGAACAAGCTCCTTCGGTCGCAAAGGAAGCAGAGGTTGTGGAAGAGCAGAAGAAGCCAGCGTTTGTTGCGCCACGGAGCACATTCTTCACTGATGATGGAAGACCTTCATTTGCATTCCCATCAGTGCCAAAGTCTACTGAGCAAACTGCCTCAACTGCCGATGAAAACGCCCCTGCGAAGACAAAAGAGCCAGCCACTTTCGTTGCACCTCAGACCAGTTTCTTTACCGATAATGGTAAGCCTTCGTTCACGTTCCCATCAGTGGCAGCACCCGCCCAGCCCTCGGCAACGGTCAGCAAAGACACCATCGTCGAAGAGAAGCCTGCTGAGCAATTGTCTCTTGGCCGAAGTGGCCTGTTCACTGATGCTGGAAAGCCCACTAGCACGATCTCTGACTTCGTCCCGACCGAGTCTGGCGGTTCAGCTTACGACCGTATCTCGGTTGAACCCAGCTCGTCAAAGAAGAAGATCATCAAGACCAAGAAGGAGAAGAAGGCGAAGAAGAGCAGCGTACCGATTCCCGATTTCGATGAGCCTGCAGCCGACGCTGCCAAGTCCGTCGATGCTCCAGTTGACGCGGCGGCAAAGGATCTGGGCGACCAGGTGACCGCTGAGCCTGTCAAGCCTGAACCTGAAACAGCCAAACCTGCTGAGACGCCTTTGGAATCTGCGATAGAGGCTTGGGGCGAACAGCTAGTATCTGAGCCAACTCCTCTGACTGAAGAGCCGCCTATCGTTGATTCTGCCGAAAGTACCGTCAAGCCCGAGCAACCAGTTACTACAGAGCCAATTACCATCGCCGAAGATGAAGTCACGTCACCTGTCAGCAAGAAGAAGGCCAAGAAGAGCAAGAAGAACAAGAAGGCTGAACTCGAAAGCACTGAGGTTGAGACCGCAGCCCCAACAACCCCAATCGAATCTGCTGCTGAACGTTCGCTGGACGCTCCCACAAGCGAATCTACACCTGTCACCGAGACTGTTGCTGAGCCGGCATTCGCAGAGGTCGTGCAAGAGAAGATCGTGCCCTCTAACACGGAGGCTGCAGAGCTTGTATCCGAGCTTGCACCGACTCTTGAAGAGCCTTCCCGTGAAGAACCCTCTCTGTCTCTCGATGTGGCCACACCAGCAGAGCGTGAAGCACCAGTTGAGTCCTCGCCTTCTGTTCAAGACGATGCGCCAAAGACAAAGAAGAGCAAGAAGAGTAAGAAGAAGAGCGGTATCTCCACGCCTCAGGAGGAGCCTATGACTGCTACCGAGCCATCTTCTGTTACAGCTTCTGAGTCTATCGCCGACCAGCCGACTTCCGTTCCGGACGTTATCCACCCTCCTGTTGTCGAGGCCTTTGACATTCCTTTGCCTGCGGAGCAACCCGATGAAGACCTCACACAGCCTCTCGAAGAGGCACTCCCCAGAGATGCCCCTGCCGAGCAGGAGCCAATTCCCGAGCCCTCTTCTGCACCTGTAGAAGCTGAGCTTCCTGCTACACCGAAGACCAAAAAGGGCAAGAAGAGCAAGCGGAAGAGCGGCACTGTGACACCCCAGCCTGAGGCCGAAGTTGTACCTGAGCAGTCCGAGGCACCCCTCGAGACATCTGCCCCGATCAGCGAACCAGTCGCAACTCCAAGCGAAGTAGTTGATCGATCCCGCGACATCGAGCTACCTTCATCGGCCGAGCAAGTTGCCGCTGTAGAGACCTCTCTACTCGAGCAGAAGCGTGACGACGGAGCGGATGCCGCGACTGTCCCTCTCCCAACAGAGAGCTTCGATGAAGATCTCTCAACACCATTGGAGCAGCCGAAGTCTGTGGACGAGGTTACTCCTTCTGTTGAGCAGAAGGTGGAGGAGGATCCATCGACACCTACTTCGAAGAAAGACAAGAAGAAGAAGGGAAAGAAGAGCAAGACTGTCGAGGCGCCTGTGGAGGAGGTTGTGGGTCAAGAGGAGGAGAGCAAGAGCAGGGAGATTGGTCAAGGGGAGGGGCTCTTCGGTGCGGAGACATCAGTCAAGGACAATGTTGATGCGAAGGATACGGCTACCGAGGAGACTGGATCAGTTTTACCTCGAGAGCAGCTACAGTCAGACATTGCGGAGCGTGCGAACGAGAGCTCTGCGCCAGCTGAACCAACTCGACTCGAGCCCCTGTCTGAGACTCCTATCGTCCCAACAGAAGATGCACCAATCGCCGAGCTAAGTCAGCCTGCAGATCTAGTGGTCGATGATGTTACCGAGGTCCCATCTTCTTCTAAGAAAGACAAGAAAAAGAAGAAGAGCAAGAAGGCGAAGGCCGATGAGGAGACTCTGGCTACCCCAACCACCGATATTGAAGCTGAGGCCGGCACTGAAACTCTGCCCCAACCGCAACAACAACCCGAGTCGCTCCAGGAGGCATCGACCGATGTCACCCCTGCACCCGCTGCGGTCGGCGTTGAAGCAACACCCGAGATCGTCGAAAGGCAGATTCCCACGGACGCTCCAATTCCTGCCCAAGAAGTTCCGGTCGAAGAGTCACAGCAGCCTGCGACAACATTGGAGGAAGAGCCTTCTACGCCATCAAAGAAGTCCAAGAAGAAGAAGGCCAAGAAGGGGAAATCCGTCGAGATTGAACCCACGTCTTCAGACCTAGCCGATGTGCAGACAGAGACCCAACCTTCTACCGAAGCCGCTGGACCTGAATCTGAGTCAATTGAGGATGCCGCACTCGCTGGATTTTCCAAGCCATTTCAAGAGGCTCAGACTGAGACTGAAGCAATCGCAGCAGACCGAGCGATCGAAGTCGCGCCTGAGGTTCCTGTAGAGTCAGTCGCCGGAGCAGAGGCGGTGCCTCTTCCCGAGACGCCGGCCCGCGAGATCGATGAGCCCATCGCGGAGGTTTCTCAGCCTTCGGTGCTTGCCGAAAATGTTCCACCAAAGTCATTGCAAGAGGTTTCAACCACCGAGGCAGAAGCAGTACCGCTTCCAGAGACGCCAGCCCGAGAGATCGACGAGCCGATCGCGGATGATCTGCTTGCGACGCTATCTAAGAAGAGCAAGAAGAAGAAGGCTAAGAAGGGCAAGTCGGCTGACACCGAGCCAAGCACGCCTGTCACTGAAGTAACTTCTTCTCAACCAGACCCGTTCGCGGAATCTGCTCAACCTGAGGTGCCCACAGCTGAGACTATTCCATCGGTGCCAGTTGAGACTTCCAAGCCAGAGCGCGAGACTCCATCGGCTGAGCTTGTCGCTCTTCCCGAGACCGACGACAAGGATTTGGAAGAGCAGAGAATACCTCAAGTTGAGGCCGCGAAGTCACAAGAAGAAGCATCGCCAGCTGAGCTCGTAGCTCTTCCTGAAACCGACGACAAAGACCTCGACGAGCCTGCAATTCCCCAAGTCAAGGCTGCGGAGAACGTTCCTGCTGTTTCTGAAGTCGTTACTGACATCTCTGATAAGGTGGATACCACACAGCCAGAGCGCAGCCAAGACCTCGACGTTCCTGTGGCTCCCGCTGAGCCTGTCGCCGAAGCCGAACCAGCTGAGCCAATCTCGAAGAAGAGCAAGAAGAAGAAGAGTAAGAAAGGCAAATCCATCGACACTACTGAGCCCAGCACACCGGTTACTGAGGAGCCAGCACCACAGTTCGACGTCCCTTCTGAGACTGTTCAAGAGGAGAAACGTATTGAAGATACTTTGCTGCCTTCGCAGGAACCGACTCGCACAGTCGTTGACACCAATGTGCCTGCACTCATCCAGGAGAGCGTTGCGGACGTTCCATCCGCGCAGCAGGATACGCCCATTGAAGAAGCTTCGGTTGCGCCTACCCTTTCCAGCCAAGACATCGAGAATGAGGGCGCCGAGCCTGTCTCGAAGAAGGGCAAGAAGAAGGCAAAGAAGGAGAAAGCCAACCAAGAGGCTGAGGTTGAGCAAACCTCAACAACTCCTTTGCCTGAACCTTCCGCAGTGCATACTACCACCGATGCCAACCTTGATGTAGCTGCACCCGAGACCACTGAGCAACGCCATACTGTGGAACCTTCAGAGATCGAGCCCAACGTCATCGACTCAGCTCCCAATGTTGCTACCACGGTAACATCTCCCGAGACTACGGAGCGTCCACTCGACGACGTACCATCGACGGAGAGTACACTGCCCGAGACTTCACAAGTTCAAGACCAGGCTGAGGCCGAAGATGCTCCCAGTACACCCAAGAAGAGCAAGAAGAAGAAGAAGGGCAAGAAGGAAGAGTTCGCCTCCGAGCCTCGAACTCCCGTTACCGAGTCTGAGCCAGTCTTTCCGGAGACCACTGTTCAAGAAGCGCTTCCATCTACCGCTGCGACTACCGAAGAATCGGTTAGTCGGGATGTTGCACCCGAGCCTACTGCCGAAGTTCTGCCTACGCCTGTCGAGACCTCTACCACTGAGCAAGACGTTCCCGCTCCTACAGAGCCAGCGCAGGTTGAGGAAGTGGTTCAGGCGATCGATCTTGAGCCAGCACGTAATGAATCTGTCCCAGAGCAAGCCACCGAGGAAGCGACACCACTCTCAAAGAAAGACAAGAAGAAGGCCAAGAAATCCAAGAAGGCTGAAGTTGAGAGTGAGATGCCCGAGATATCTTCTGCGCCAGTCGAGACTGTCTCGAGGACCGTTGGTGAGCCAACTCGCGAGGAACAAGTTTCGCCAATTGTCCAAGAGACACCCATCGACGAACCCGTCGTTGAGACGCAGATCGTTCCCGAGGCTACATCCCCAAGATCGATGCCAGTGGTCACCGCAGGCCAAGACGATGTACTTCCAAGCATTCCCCTAGCTGAAGACGCCGCTGTCACCACTTCGACCGATACCGCGCCTGCAACTGCAGCGCAAGATGAAGTCACAGTAGTCGAGAACGAGGACGTTGCGCCTGCGACTGAACAGCATGAGGAGGAGTCTACTTCCAAGAAGAGCAAGAAGAAGGCTAAGAAGGCTAAGCGTGCTTCCATCGCCGAAGAGCCTACTGTTCCTTCTATTCCTGAAGCGACAACCGAGGAGAAGGACACTATCCAACCTGAGCAAGCAGCGACTGTACCTGAACCTGCTGCGGACCCGACACCTGTGCCCATAATTGTTTCTGATACCGTCCCTGAGACCGCCACAGCCGAGGAGCTTGTTTCTGACACTACACCCGCGCCGGAAGTGTCCGTGGAGCGCGAAGCGACTGTCGATACCACAGCCCCATCCGTTGCCGAGGCGTCGGTTCAAGAGAAAGAGGATGCTTCAGTCCCTGACAAGCCGACAGCTGAGTCCAAGCCGACCGAGGAGACGCTGACTACTGATGCACCCGTACCCGAGATCACTGAGGAAGCGGCCGCTCCACTCTCGAAGAAGGACAAAAAGAAGGCCAAGAAGGCGAAGCGCGTTTCGATCGCCGAGGAATCAACTTCTATCCCATCAACCCCCATCGAAGAGAAGACTGAGCCAGTCTTGGAAGAGCCTACATCTTCAGCTACAGAGGTACCCGCCTCGGAAGTCCCCGTTGTGGAAGAGGTGCCAAGCACTTTGTCCGACGTTACCGAAGACACTTCATCTCACCCTACGCCTGCCGAACAGCTCATTGCTACCCCCGAACCCGCTTCTGAAGAACTCACTCAAGTTGAGGCTGTGCCAGAGATCACCAGCCCGGTCTCGAAGAAGGACAAGAAGAAGTCGAAGAAGTCAAAGCGCGAATCGATTGCGGAGGCGGAGACGGAGACTCAAGTGGAGACACCAGCAGAAAGGTCATTAGAGCGCGCTCTTGATGACGCTACTGACATTGCTACTCCGGTTCTTGAGCAGCAGCCCGACGAAGCCACATCAACGGAGCCTACTGCAACTCCCGTGATTGTTGAGGAGCCAAGCAAGAGCGACGTGTCTTCTGCCGTTCCAGTCGAAGAAGAGCAATTTCCAGCGACCACAGTTGTAGAAGAGCAGCCATCTGAGGTAGTGGCTTCCGAGCCAGTCTCTGTCACCATTCCGACCGAGACTTCGGCAGAGGAGCCCGTAGCGACATCTTCGACCATCGATGAACCAACCACACCTTCCAAGAAAGACAAGAAGGCGAAGAAGAGCAAGCGCGGATCAGTCGCCGAGGTCGAGCCATCTCTTCCTTCCACTCCGGTTGATGAACCCACTAGAGAGCTTTCGGAAGCAGTGAAAGACATTCCCACTGCTGAACAAGAGCCTACAGCACCAGCCGTCGAGCAGGAAGAGCAATCGAACCTTGCTCCTACTGTTTCCGAAGATACATTAGCCTCCACTCCTGCTGTTGACCAGATCGTCACGGAACCCACGGAAGAAGAGGATACGTCGTCGAAGTCGAAGAAAGACAAGAAGAAGGCGAAGAAAGCAGCCAAAAAGGCCGAGGCTGAGTCTTCTGAGCCTACCATCTTCGCTGAGCCTTCGATTGAAGCAGTGGAACCCACTTCCACAGAGCAGCCTTCCTCGGTGGTGCCTGATGCAACAACTACGATCACCACCATCGACGAGGCCCCGCGCACGCATGTTGATGATTTGATCGCCCCAGTTACAGTCGCCACTGAGGACAACGAGAGCAAGGAGCCAGCTACCGGCCGCGATGTGAACGACTCTACCAAGAATGAACAGCTCAGCATTGCGCCTACAGCTGACAACGCGGTCGAGACCACCACATCAGACGCACAGGCTATTCCCAGCACTACTGCCACCTCTACAGATGTCCAGCCGGACGACGAGCAAGAACCAGAGGAACGGGCTGGGCTATCGAAGTCGCAAAAGAAGAAGCTGAAGAAAGCCAAACGCACGTCCGTTGCTGAGGTAGAACCATCCCGGCCAGCCACACCTGCAGAAGATTTGTCAAAGGTTCTTTCTGCCGAGCCTCAGTCATCTGTTCCCGAAGTGGTTAAGGAGACCACTACTGAGCAATTACCCCAGGCGGATGAACCCCGTGCCCTGCCAGTCGCGGAACCTATCAGCGAGGCGAAGCAGGCTGAAGCATACCCCGAGCAGCCCACCGCAACTTCGGAGCCAACAACCACTTCAACCCCAGCTGAAGACCCTGCACCAACTACTGCTACACCAGACCCGTCACCAGGCGATCCCAAGCCGCCAGACAGAGAGCTCGAAGCGCCTTCGTCCCCTTCCTCCTCCAAGAAGGACAAGAAGAAGGCCAAGAAGCAAGCTAAGAAGGCAACACCTGCGGAGCCTTTTTTAGCAGATGAGACGCCTGAGGCAGCCAACTCTGATACTCAGCCGTCTCTGTCGATTCCTACACTTTCGGAGACCCAACTACCTTTCTCGGGGATACCGACACAATATCCCCAATCTTTTACGAATAACGAGCTTGTTGATGATTTTGATGATAAGAAGGAGGTGGAGATTGATGATGCGAGGGAGGAGAGGGAACGTGAGGAGGAGAAGAAGGATGTCAAGAGGAAGGCAGTGGAGAGAGGAGTTGAGGAAGAGCAGGAGAAGAAGCTAGAGGAGGTGGTTGCCGAGGCTGAACAGCGTGGAGAGCCTTCGGTCGTAGTCGAAGAGTTGCCAGTGCAGACTGCAACGGAGGCCGTCGCTGCTGAAGAGAATCCAACCGAAGTAAAACAGTCCGTCGAATCGACCGCGGCGCAAGAGCCTACAACTGCCGTTGCAGACGTCGCCGAGAAGGACATCAAGGAGCAAGCACCTATTGTGGAAGACCTTGCGTCTGAGACAATCATCCCAGTCGATTCCGCCGTTACTGAGCCATCTGTGTCTCTGGAAGCCGACTCAGCGCCCACACTGGAAGACCCAATTCCAGTGGAGACACCCCAAGAGCCCACACCTACTCCGATGCTCGCTGAAGAGGACCGCCCGACTGCTCTGCCGCAACAAGAAGAGCTCAAGGAAGTTGTGGAAGAAGCTTCTCAGACACCAGTGGCACAACCGACTCGTTCACTCGGCGAAGCTGATGACTCGGCCACCCCTTCTAAGAAGAAAAAGAAGAACAAGAAGGGCAAGCGCGCGTCCACACTAGACGAACAAGAGCAAGCCACCAGCGTTCCTGAGCCTGAGCGCGACACTGCGGACAAGCCAAGTGAAGACATTACGGTTGCAGAACCCAAGGAACCAGTGGCTTCTGCAGTTGAGGATGTCAAGTCCATAGAAGATTTCGCAACCGTTCGAGACATTGAGATTGCGCGTCCTTCCGAGCCTCAAGCGGATACAACGCCTGTCGTCGAAGAAGCTGCCCTGCCCAAGGACGAACACGCTACGCCTGATGTCCAAGAGCATGTGTCTGTTTCGGTCACGACAGACGAGCGCCAGGATTCAACCACACAGCCCGAGACTCCCGCTTCTTTGCCTGGGGTTACCGAAGAAACGACCATCGCGGAGCCTGTGCCCCAAGATGTTGAACGTACCGTTGAAAACATCGAAGAGCCCGCCATTGTCGTTCCGGAAGTGGGGCAAATTCTGACACCAACAATCGAGGAGCCGACCTCTTCCAAGAAAAGCAAAAAGAAGAGCAAGAAGGCCAAGCAGGCGTCGTCTATCGAGACCATTCCTGAAGTCCAGTCTTCCCAGCCAGAGGAGCTGCCATCCGTTCACGTTGCGCCAAGCCCGCTGGCGCCTGAACCAGTCAACGAATCAGAAGTGTCACGCGAGGTCACGGTTCCTGAACAGGTCGAGGATGTTCAACCAGCAGTTCCGACAACAGACAACAAGACAACCGCCCCGGAAGAGCCGACCTCGAAGCCTGTCGAAGAGGCGCAGCAGCCTCCGCTACCAAGCACCGAACGTGACGCGCCCACTGAGGTTCCAGAAATCGTATCCGAGCCTCCAACGACAACACAGCTTGAGCCAACAACTTCCGATGCCCTTCAACCGCCAACGGAAGAGCTTCCCGTACCTTCGCTCTCGAAGAAAGACAAGAAGAAGAGCAAGAAGGCCAAGAAACAGTCTCAAGCGGAAGAAGTCGTGGAGGAGACCACTCCTGATGCACCTCGAAATGTTACTACGGAGGCCGCGCCTACTCCGGTCATTGAAGAAGTTGCCGAGGCGGTCGTCGAGCCAATTGTTGAGCCGGTCGTGGAATCGGTGGCCGAGCGAGCCATTGAACCAGCCACCGAGACAACGCCGGTCATTGAGTCCACATCAGTTGAAGATGCATCCGCACCAAAGCCTGAGGATATGTCATTCGTTCCAGAGACTACCGTCAACGAGCCGATGACGTCTGACAATGCACCAGTGCCTGTCACCGAAGACACCCGCGAATCTTCAGAGCTTGCGGAATCAATGCTTGAACAAGAAGTGATCTCCAAGCCTGTAGAAGACGCCGCTCAGGTACCGCTGCCTGAAGATAGCATCATCAGCCCACCAGCCGAGACAGTCGGGGAGGAGTTTGTTGGCCCAATCCAGCCTGAGACCACATCAGGTGCCCAATTCGAGCAACTTCCAACCCCAATCATAGAGCCAGAGGCTCCACTCGAGATCGCTGATGCCGCATCGTTGTCCAAGAAAGACAAGAAGAAGGCCAAGAAGGCGAAATCGAAGGCTTCTGACGCTGTCACGCCTGTCAATGAAGTCGCAGTAGAGCCCGAGGTCGCAATTGTCCAAGATGTTGGCGCTAGCAGCAATGAGCCAACGACTCGGAATGTGCCACTTTCTTCGCCTCAGGAAGATGCTGTGGTTGAGACAATTGTCTCTAAGATTGACCAAGAACCTTTACTGGACGATCGCGCACTTTCTATGCCCCCAACGGAGGAGACAAAGGAAGAAAACGAGAAGTCCGATCCTACGCCGCCTCTCGTGGACGCTATTTCAACGCCCCTGCCTGATACTGCTCAAGAGCCTATCATTGAACGATCGATTGAGGAGGTATCAGCCATCGATGCGCCAGTCACTGCGGCGGAAGAGACTCCTGTCACACAGGAAATCGCAACCGAGAATCAAATCGAGGAGACAGTCAGCCAAAATGTGCCAGACACCACTGTCATTCCAGCGATCGTTGAAGAGCGACCTTCCGATGTACCAACGACGGACGTTGAGCCTCGAGTCGAGGAGCCAGCATCCCCATCGGTCTCCAAGAAGAAGAGTAAAAAGAAGGGCAAGAAGTCAGATGTCACAACGCCAGTTCCCGAAGCCTTGCCTGCAGCAGACTCCGACAACATCGTTGTCAACACCAAAGATATCGCATTCTCCCAGCCCGAAGTACAAGACCCTGTCGCACCGGTCATAGACGAGCAGCCGCAGGTTGAAGAGGTCACGATCCAGCCGGAGATTCCTGTACTGCCAGAGACCGTCAGTGAAGCACCTGCGACCGAGACTGCACCTACAGTCAACGAACCAGTTTCGGTACCAGGGACGACCGTCGTTGAGGGAGTCAAGAATGAATCCGTTACGCAGGAGCCCGTTCTTGAGCGTAAGCTGAGCAAGAAGGAGAGGAAGAAGGCCCAGAAACAGGCCGCTGCTCAGGTCGAGGAATCCATCGTTGAGGGCGAGCCAGTCGTGAAACCAGCCACGGAGCCAGCCACGGAATCTACTATCGAGCCTGTTGTCGAGTCCACCGTCGAGCCTATCGTCGAGCCTACCGTCAAGCCAGCGACGGTAGAACCAGCGCCTGCAGTCGATACCACTACGGTTGAGCGTTTTCAAGAGACTGACCCAGTGGTACGTGAGTCTGTTGTTGAGTCTTCATCTTCGCGCGAGGTACCAGAACCAACGACAGAGGTTGCCTCTGCGCCAACGATCGAGCCATTGCCTCAAGAAGCAACAGTGGAGGACAAAATTCTTTCCACTCCAAAGAAGAGCAAAAAGGCAAAGAAGGACAAGAAGAGCAAGACGCAATCTGCTGTTTCTGATCTCCCAGAGGAGTCTGTCAAAGAAACATCGAATCTTCCTGAGCAAGTACAAGCAACGGAAACGTTCGAGACTGAGCCCGCCGCCACGGAGCGACCACAGCCTATCAGCCTACGGGATCAGGACACAACGATCCCGGAGACTGAGCCAATGACTTCGACGACCGCTCAGATCGAAGAGACAACAACGGAGTCTGTGAAGACGGAAGAGCCTGTTGTCCATACCAACATTACTCCCGAAGTAATCGAACAGCCTCAAGAGCCGGCTTTCTCACAAGGAATGGATGTTGATAAGCTACCGGAAGATGTCTCAACAGGCACTACTGATGTTCAGGACCGTTCTGTCCCCGAAGCTCATGTGGCCGTTCCCACTGTCGCACCACCGATCTTTGAAGACTCCGGGCAACAGCCCACTCGGGAGCTGATGCCAGACGCCTCAGTCGAAGCGTCAGCGGAGCCAACTACCGTAGTGGAGGAGGTCAGGAGCGTCCCAGAAGCACAATCCGAGAGCATTGAAGCCCAGCCAGCCATCTCTGAACCGTCCATTCCGGAGGTACCTCTTGCATCATCTTCAATCGCCAGAGAACTGCCATCGGAGATGCGATCCGAGCCCGCAACGGAAACAATCGACTTGAGCAACGAGCAGACACTACCTGAGCCAGTGGAGGAAAGTTCCCTTTCGCGCTCAATGTTGAAGAAGGCGAAGAAGGCCAAAAACGACCGGAAGTCTCTTGCTGACAACGAGCCTTCTGGACCCGCTACGACTGCCAGTGAAGCCCCTTCAGAAATCGTCACCGAGACACCCATTGAGCAAGCCGTCCCTCAGCCAACTATCACCGAGACCACGAAAGAGTCGGTACAGTCTCCTACGCCAGCAGAAGAGAGTGCGCCAGTCATTCCAGTAGTCGAGGAGACGCCGGTACCTGCCGTTGCCGAGGCTGCTCCAGAATACAACTACCGGGGTCTTGAGGAGCAGCAGTCTATCGAGCCTATCGACACCACCACAACACATGAAGAAGCTCGTCAAGTCACTCATGACGACTCTGTTCCAGCAAGCGCGCTTTCCCCTTCTCTCCGGGCAATCCAAGATGAAGCTGCCGATCTGCGACTCCGTGCAGAGACACTTGATTCTGAGCTCGCCACACGAAACGACGCTGATCAGCCCTCCACCATCGAGCCCGCTTCCATGTTCGATATCGTCAGCAAGTTCACGAAGAAGGACAAGAAGAGGGCGAGAAAGAGCAAGGGCGACACTGACGCTATGCCGACGACTCCTGCGGCCGAACCTGAGGCTGCGGTTGAGACGAAGGAAGTCGTCGAGACGCCCGCATCTGCGCCGACCTTGACAGAAGAGCAAGCTGTCGATAAGAGAGAAGTTGTCGACACACCCGCGGTGACAGAGGAGACCATTGCGACCGATGGGCCTTCTCGCAAACTGAGCAAGAAGGAGAAGAAAAGGAAGGGCAAGCAGCCTGCAGTCAATCCAGTCGAATCTTCTGAGACAGCAACGCAGTCGAGCGCGCCGATCGTCGAGTACCCAGAGCCAATCGCCGAGCAGCCAACAGAGTCACCATCAGTCGTCACTGAGCCTTCAGCAGAAACTGTCGCGCCAGAGAAAACTCACCAGGCTTCCCGTTCCATCGATACTGAGCGAGTAGTACTTGATGAGCCAGCTGCAGCCGACATCCCGGCCTCATTTACCGTCACCCAAGATCTTCAACAAACACTTGTGGAAGAGGAACTGGTGCCGTCAAGGAAGCTTAGCAAGAAAGACAAGAAAAAGGCTAAGCAAGCTGCCGCGCTAGAAGATGCAACAGTTTCTCTATCTGAGGATGTTCCGTTCTCTACTCCGACTGAGTCTCGGGAAGTAGCTTTGCCTGACTATGAGGTAGCTACGTCAGTGCCAGCACCTTCCAGTGAGGGTTTCCCTGCGACGAGTGTCGAGGCTTCCAAGGAGGCAGCTGTTGAGGAAGTCCCGGCTATGACGCCGAGCCAACGTGAGGTGGAGACCCAGGTCGATACCTCAATCGTTACACCAGCAGAGGCAACCACGGACAGTCTGCCACCACCAGTCGTCGAGCAACAAGAGCCAATTCTCGAGGAGCCATCTATTCCATCTCCTAAGCTCAGCAAGAAGGGCAAAAAGAGAGCCAAGCAGGATACACTCCCCGCACAGGAACCCGAGGCGCCCGTTACGGTAGACGCACCGTTGCCCGAGACCAGTGAGCCCATCGTGAAGGAGATACCGCACATAACCCAAGAGGTATTCAGGGACACTTTCTCCCATGGACCAGCGACCGTCGAACGTCCTATCGCGACGAACATCATGGAAGGGGCACCTCGTTCAGAGCCATCTACTGTGCCACGGTTTGACGCAGAGCCAGAGGTCAAAGTCACCGAAGTCCAGCCCGAACCAACTCCCATCGACCTTCCCGTCAAGACTTCGATTACGGAAAGCACCGAGCAGCCTCGCGAACTTCCTGCTGTACATGAACCAGAACCAGAGTCTGCGATTGCCCCGACTCTCGTACGCAAAGAGGGTAAGAAAGACAAGAAGGGCAAGAAGCAAGACGTGCTTGCTGAACAGACTCTCACATCGAGAACCGACGATGTAGTGGTCTCTGAAGACGTACGAACCGAAGACCGTTCTCTTGACTCGTCAAAGCCTATGGACCAGCAAGTCACGGCTCCTATGGACATCCCAAATAAGCCCACACAAGACACGACAATCGCGCCAGTCCTGGAGAAGCAGCCCCGAGAGATCATCCCGCCAAGGACTTTTTCAGAAGAGCGTGTAACCGTTGACGCTCCAGCGACCGAAGCCATCCCCGAGGCCGAGACGACTCCCACGAAGAGTAAGAAGCAAAAGCGCAAGTCGAAGTCTCCGACGACTTCAAGAGAGCCCGCTAGCGTTGCGCCCATCGTCCCGGTCGAGGAGACCGCCCCTGAACCGACTGTTGCGCGTCAGATTGTGTACGACAACAGCCAGTCTACGATCCGAGAACGCAGCCTTTCTCCCAGGAAAAGGCCTACAACACCGTCAACGCCCGGGTCGCCAGTAATTGGAGCAATTCTCAGCCAGCCGAAGAGGGAACACGTCAGGTCCATGTCCAACGTCTCTATCCCTGATCTCCACGTAAGAGCCAGCGAATCCGATAGCACTACTCAGCACCCTTTGTTGCACAAGAAGTCATCCAAGAAACACAAGTTGGCAGCTTTATTTGAGCGCGGCAAATCGCCTGATGGTGCTCCTGCGGAACGAGGTCTGCGAAAAGAAGGATCTGGCAGTGTCAGAAACCTCGCCGAACAATACGAGAGTCAATCACGATCTGTCACGCCCATTCTACCTCCGTCTCCCGAAAAGCGTTACCTGTCTCGATCTCCATCGCCTGAGAAGCGCCAACTCCATTCTCGAGTTGCATCTCGTAGTCAACTTGGCTTAGTGTCACCAGTGCGATCAGATTCGAAGTCGCCCGCAAGAGATATAGACTTCGCAGCTACTGTCGCCGCCAGTTTGCAAGAGTCTGGTTTTGATCCTGGATACGTCATTAACGACAGAGCTTTCCATCGCTCGAACTCCATATCAGGAGCTCGCGATATCACGCCTGATGATGATATTGCCGCTGCAAAGGAAAGAGCCGGCAGATCAAGACTCGGTAGCTTGAGTCGCTCATCATCAGTCTCCGGCTCGCCAAAGCTACGACCACTTCAGCCTAGCGGACCCGAAGTTCTGCCACCCATCGAAGTAGCAATGGCAACGACTGACACTGCATCGTTCGACCCACTGGATGTGCTCAACGACCCCGCTTTTGCAACGCGAAAGTCACCTCCTGGTGTTCTTGAAGAAGCTGACCCTGATGAGTTGGCCGGGTCGTCAAGTTTGAGAAGGAACAAGAGCAAGAAGAAGCGTCACCCGATACCAGAAATTCCAGTGGAATCTGAACACACTCGCGAAGAAGCAGACGCTTCAGTTGCGCCGATTGTTCGAGGCAAGAAGTCAAAGAAGGACGAAGAAGGAGCTCCACGTCCGCAAGACCGTGTTGAGTATACAGCTGCAGAGACTCCGGCGATCGAGGCTCATCGAGATGTGCCTCTCGCTGTTGAGACTCCAGCTGACTCCACAGTCCGCGGAATTGAGCCTGCTCAGTCCGTGCCTCGCGCGCCAAACTCCACCGATGTCCTTCCGGAGATGCCAATGCAAACAACGGGTTTGGAAGCCAAGTCTATCGACGTCAAAGAGGAAGATTCAAACAGACAAGACACGATAGCGAGGAAGGAGAGGCCCAGGAAGTCAGCGAAGGACACCAAACCTGCAGCCACTGACGATGTGCCCGTACTGCCCGTGACATTCGATCAGGAAGCCCGTTCACTGACCGCTGGAGAGCCGAAGGAATATCCATTTCCACAGGTGACGCAAGAAAAGGAGATCGAGAGGAAAGAGGAGACGCGCAGGCGGGAGTTGGAGAAAGAGAGGGATATGGATGCATGGGCTCCATCGCCAAGAAAGAAGAGCAAAAAGAGCAGGAAGACTGAAGAGAGGGTTGAGGGAGAGTCGAGCACCGCGTCGAGGGACGCACCACCAGCCGAGACACCAGCTGCCGTTCCTGAAGTTCATAAGCGCAGGACACACCCTGTATCCTTTGACGATGAGCAGCCGGACGAGAAGCGCCTACACACATTGGAGTCCACACAAGAGCCTCAATTCACCACTGAGAAAACAGCATCATCAGCGCATGTTGTCGCACCAGAACGCTCACACTCCGACAAGCGCTCCAAAGAAGCCAAATCATCAACGCATGGTGCAGCACCAGCCAACGAGCCATCATGGTCATTCGCCGAAGTTCGAGACGACAGCAGTCGGGACCCCGCCACTGCACAGTCAGCACAGCCAGTCGAGAAGGCAACACGTACGCTGAGGCGGTCGAAGGAACCGAAGACTCCTCTGGGTGCATCAAAACGCTCAATTGCAACTGACCAAGATGCCGAAGACAGCCCTGCTTTGCCAACACACCCAGTGATTTCTGGCGCGACAACCCCAGGCACCGACTTTGCGACGAAGGAGCGAACCTCGTATCTTTTCGATTCCTCGCCATCAACACGCGCCTATGGCACTTCACCAGCAGTTGGGCCGCAAACACCCGCTCATGATACTCAGAGAATTGATGATACTCCGTCGAAAGACAAAGGCAAGAAACCACGCACAGAGTCGCAGCACGGTCGAACATCGCCTACGAAGCAGATTGCACAGAAGGAGCCATACCAATCCTTGTTTGGAGATCCAAATGAGAAGAAGGGTGAGACCCTTTCCACGCCTGTCGCGAAGCTCGAACGCACGCCAGGCACCAAGCAACTCGAGTCCATTGAGGAAGTCAGCCCGGATGACACTAAGCACAAGAAGTCACGATCCATCGCTGATGTCGGCGCGCCAGAGCGAGGACTCAAGTCAGCTCGTCGCACCGAGAGTCTCAGGCAACTTTCTGATCGCCTGAGATCACCTCCGCCCAGCACGCCAACGCCCACGGGTCGTCGAAGTGTGGCATCCATGGCAGACAACTCGGGTGGAAGAGATTCACCATGGTCACAGGTCAACGACAGCGTTGACCGAACCATGACCCTCAGCCCCGCACGCCGCATGCCTCGCTCATCTCCGAGCGCAGACCCGTTGAAGCAGTACATTGCTGAGCAGCGGTCGCCCAGTGTCCAAAGTCAGCGTTCTCTGAGCAACATCGCGAGGCTTAGGTCTCCGGATCAGGAACGTCCTATGAGCTCTATGAGCAACATCAGCACACGTTCGGATCGGTCGTTGAGAAGAGTGGACCGGCAAACGTCAGGTGACCTCAGATCAGCCTCGAGGCTTGGCGAGGCCAGTGCGCAAGACGCTAAGAGCGCGCAACCCAATCTCTCCAGCACGGCGCTCGCGGCTGGAGCAGCAGCCATCGCAGGTATCGCCGCCCCACCGGTTTACGACCCAGTCCGGGGTACAGGTAGAGGTCGCCGTACCAGTATGGCCGAAACCTTTGTAAGTAGTTCGCAGTTGTTGCGCACGTCGCTTCTGATTACTGACTGTCTTTTGCAGGAAGCATGGGGTGAAGCCCAAAGGTCGCCTAGCTCGCCCTCACGTCCACCAAGCGTGCGCAAACGTCAAAGCATGCAAATTATGGACCTCCAGACGCAACTTGACCAGCTAGCTGCGCAAAACTCAGCTGTCGAGACCGCCAAAGCCAAGGCTGAGGAGGCTTTGCAGGCTGCACAACACCAGCGCCAAGTTGACGAGCAGTTGGTACTTGAAGAAGTAGAAGCACGTGACCGTCAGATTCACCAAAGAGATATCGACATTGCGCAACTCAAGGATACGCTTCAGCGACTACAAGAAGAGATTGCGCGCCTGAATCAACTCAACAACGCACTAACAGACGCCAATCGCAACCTGACCAACGATGCCAATGAACGATATGGCCAACTCCAGTCCGAGGGACAGATGGTGCATGAGCAATGGCAGGCATCACAACGAGAGCTAGAGAGCCTTCGCAGTCAATACGCTCAGCTTCAGGCTGAAGGCCAGGCCATGCAACAGCAATGGCAAACATCACAACGAGACTTGGAGGAACTTCGTCGTCAGCATACCCAGATGCAGCGAGGTCTCGCAGATGCCGTCCGCGATGAAGTTGGCGAAGCACTAGATGAGCGCAATGCCGAAATCGACCGTCTAACCGCAGAGCTGGCGACTGCACGCGAACAGATCAAGAACCTTCAAAAGCAGATCTTGGCTTCGAAGAAGCCTAGTGAGAGCTTCCTCACTGTTCGCGATGAAGACTACTTTGACAGCGCCTGTCAACAACTGTGTCAACATGTACAGCAGTGGGTGCTGCGCTTCTCCAAGTTCTCTGACACTCGCGCATGCCGCCTTTCATCAGAGGTCGCAGCTGATACACGACTGGATGCATCAACGCGTCAGAAAATCGACACTCGCCTTGACAATGCCATTCTCGATGGCTCAGATGTCGATTCACTCTTAGCGGACCGTGTCAAGCGCCGAGACGTCTTCATGTCCGTGGTTATGACCATGATCTGGGAGTACGTCTTCACCAGGTACCTATTCGGTATGGACCGAGAACAGCGCCAGAAACTCAAGGCGCTGGAGAAGACACTTTCAGAAGTCGGCCCACCACGCGCTGTGGCACAATGGCGAGCTATCACACTTACCCTTCTTGCGAGAAGAGAGCCTTTCATGCAGCAGCGCGCTCAGGACACTGAAGCTGTGGTGCACGAGATCTACAGCACACTCTCGACACTTCTTCCACCACCATCGCATCTGCAGCGCCAGATCCAGGAGTCGTTGCGCAACGTGATGCGCTTGGCAGTGGAGCTATCAATTGAGATGCGCACGCAACGCGCGGAATACATCATGCTGCCGCCGCTACAACCCGAGTACGATACCAAGGGCGACCTCGTGGCCAAGGTTACTTTCAACGCCTCGCTCATGAACGAACGGTCAGGTGAGACGACGTCAAATGACGAACTCCAAGCCCGTGGGTCGGTAGTCAAAATTGTACTATTCCCCCTAGTTGTCAAGAAGGGTGACGACTTCGGCGAAGGCGAGGACGAGATTGTCGTCTGCCCAGCCCAGGTCCTGGTCGCCGGAACCAAGAGCAGGAAGGTAGTGAGGGTCATGAGTGGAGCGATGTCGATCAATCGTCCCGACTCACGAGCAAGTCGCATCAGTCGGGTAACGAGCGTCGCGCCCCCTGAGAGCACGATCATGGACTACGAGCAACCTGGCAGCAACATGATCTAGATGGACGGCCGTTTGGATTACGATTTTTTTCTTATTTTACCTTGATAGCGTGGGCGGGTTTTGTGTTTGGCGTTTGGGATATCATTTTACCACTTTACGAGATTTCCTTTGTTTTAGTATTAGCAGTATTTACACAGCATCACTTGGAGCGCGTTTAGCACGATTGTATATTAGTCACGACAGTACGAACGCTGTAAGCAATAATCGTTTTACGATCTTCACACGAATCCCTTTTAATCCCTTAATCCCTTAATCCCTTGCGATCTCTTGGCAAATCTCATTTGCACATGGCGACAGGGAAATCGCGATAGACAGCGCCAGATCCTCGGTTGTGGGCTCCATAAGGATTGCGCCAGCCTCGTTTTGGGGCGACCCCGCTCTGTCCCTGGTGGGCGTGGCACAGCTGCACGACGAAGGAGTACCACAGCCGGTCCGTTTAAAGAGTCGCGACGCGCGAAATGTAAACGCTATCCGACTGTGCTAGTTGCGGCTTTCCACGCGCTATCCCGACCACTCTTTCCGACATCCAACCACCCAAGACACTGTCGCGATGCCGATTCGAAGCGACTGGACCCTTGCGCGCGAAGGTAAGCACCGAGCCATTGCCGCCCCAACCGTCACAATGGCGATAGTTTCGAGTAGGACGCTTTTCTGACGTGAGCAGGCGTGACTGGCGATACTATCAGCCGCCTCATCAGGTACACGGCCTTCAACCCTGCCCTCACGCTGCCCCTCATCCTCCTTGCGCGTTACACGCACCAAGGCAACGCCCTTGCCGAAGACCATGCCGCAGCATTCAAGGGCCTGAAGACGCTGCTGGGCTTGGGTGCGCTGAGCACCGTCAACGCTTGGCTCAACAGCGGCGTGACCAACAACTGGAGCGGCGATGCCTATGTCTGGAGTCGCGAGGTCGTCGTTGTAACCGGAGGCAGCGATGGCATTGGCAAGATCGTTGTCCAGCTGCTCGCCGAGAAGGGTATCAAGGTCGCCGTCTTGGATGTGCAGGACTTGACGTATGAGGGTATGTCTGCCATTGAGCGTCAATTGCTTTGAAGGTATACTGACACTCACCAGCACCATCATCTGTCCGCTTCTTCAAGTGCGACCTCACCGACCCTGAGGCCATCGCCTCCGCCGCCTCATCCATCCGCTCCACACTCGGTAACCCCACGGTCCTGATCAACAACGCCGGAGTCGCACGCGGCAAAACCATCCTCGAGTCGACAGAGAAGGACATCAACCTCACCTTCAAGGTCAACGCATTCAGCCACTACTATTTGACACAGCAGTTCTTGCCCGCCATGATCGCCGCGAACCACGGCATGATCGTAACCGTCGCCTCCGTAGCCGGCTACCTCTCCGCGCCCTCCATGGTCGACTACGCGTCCTCCAAAGCCGCCGCCCTCTCCTTCCACGAAGGCCTCGCCGCCGAACTCACCGCCCGCTACAACGCCCCCAAGATAAGGACTGTGCTCATGGCTCAGAGCTACACGCGCACTGCGCTGTTCGAGGGATTCGATTCAAAGGGCGTTCTTTACCCGGAGACGGTTGCTGAGAGCATTGTCAAGGCGGTGTTGAGTGGCAAGAGTCAGCATGTTGTTCTGCCGGAGACTAGTGGGCTGTTCATTCCGGCCATAAGGACTTGGCCGTACTGGATGCAGTATGGGCTGAGGAAGAGGCTGGGTAAGCTTATGGCGGGGTGGAAGGGCAGGCAAGTTGTCCAGCCTAGTTTGGCGGGGGAGGAGAAGAAGGTTGAGGATAGTACTGTTCTTGTTGATAAGGAGTAGGGGGTGGATTATGCGTGTTTGCTTGTGGTACTGTCAGCGATTTGCACATCATCTCGAGTGATGTGTGTTGGGGTTGTAGATGCTGAGCTGTTCATATTTCTTTTGATGTGTTACATAATCTTGCAGTATACCTTTGATATAATTGAGCGATATCACCAGCACATACTCAATGGAAGTGAAGTGACTCTGGCTACGGATGGTCTTAAGATAAGCATCGCTCTCGGGGATGTGAGTTGTGATGGAAGTAGACTGTTAAGAAATGACGTAAGCGTACACGTGGTATGCATCAACATCGTAGCATGGCAAGTGTACATCACAAAGCCTCCTGTAACCCATCCCGATATCCTAGATACTTTGCCATTTTCATATTTTCCAAATCGTCGTACGAAACATGGCCCATCTAACACGGGAAGAAGTCCTCAAGTCGGGTGAGGTGTCCGAAATATACAGAAAGGTAGGTACCTAGGTACCATAAGCCCACCAGTCACTTCCTATACCACTTCATCACCATTCCTTCAAAGCCCCAGCCCCCCTGACCCCTACCCCTAAACTCACACCCCACCCCAGGCCTTCACAGCACGCCCATTCCAAACAACAGGCCCGGACTTCTTCGCCCACCGCGCCTCCCGCGCAGCCCACCTCTCGCAGCTCCGCCACCTCTACCCCATCTCCGGTCCCATTCCAGAGCACGTGACAGAAAGCCTCCACGACGTGCCAACCCGAGATGGAGCCTTCATCCGCGTCAAAGTGTACCAGCCTGTTGCTGGTCCGCCGGAAGGCGGTAGCCCACTGATTATGATGTACCACGAAGGAGGCTGGAGTATGGGTGATTCAACGGATGAAGATATGAATTGTCGGATGTTTACGAGGGAGTTGGGGGCTGTGTGTGTTAATGTTGAGTATCGGTAAGAATGATCCCATTACCTACATCCCAGGTTTTTCTTATCCTTCTTTACGTTTCCGTTCCTCGTATACTTCAACTTCTTTTCCCAAGACACATTTACTCACGTACCACCACAGTCTAGCACCCGAGCACAAATTCCCAACCGGCATCCACGACTGCCACGACGCCCTCCTCTGGGCCATCAAAAACAGCGACTTACTCAACGCAACACCCACCCGCGGACTCCTTGTAGGCGGTGCCTCAGCCGGCGGCAACATCGCCGCCGTTCTTGCCCTTCTCGCCCGAGACACAGCTTTAAATCCACCCATAACAGGCCAATATCTCTGCGTCCCCGCCCTCCTCCCCCACACAAACGTTCCTACCCACCTACTCCCCCTCTACCAATCCCGCTCAAACAACACTTCCGACCCCGTCCTCAAAGATATGGCACCAGGATTCATTGAATCCATCTACGAACCCCAGGAAAAGTCCCCGTTATGGGACCCGTTCAACCATCCAGATGGACATGTGGGTGTCGCGAAGGCGTTTTTCCAGGTTGGGGGCTTGGATCCATTGAGGGATGAGGCGGTGCTTTATGACAAGAAACTGAGGGAGAGTGGGGTGTTGACGCGGTTTGAACTGTACAAAGGGTTTGGACATATGTTTTGGACGAATTATCCGGAGTTGGAGGAGAGTAAGGAGTTTAGCAAGGACACGTTGGAGGGGGTTAGGTGGTTGTTGGAGAGGTAGGTGGGCGTTGTGTTCATGTATGATTGATTTCATGTGAACACGATACACTATGAGCATGTCTACCTACACGTCTCCTCGCACACGCACCTCGAGCATCTCGCAATTCAGCGATACCGACCAGTAGCATTTCCCCACTGCCCTCTTCTCTCATTCCAATACACCTGCATACCCGGTGGATTGCCCATATGCCTCCAATGTCCCCAGTTGAAGTGCCCGTGAAGCACTTGAGCGAGGTTATCTGCTGTGATGCGATCTGGGCGTCGGTATTCGGCCCAACGGACGCCTCGGCCTGTCATGACAGGAGATGGTGCGAGCGTGGGTTGGTGTGTGGTTAGTAGTTGAATGTTATGTTTGTCAGGAGGTTCAAAATCTTTGCCTAGGAGAATGGTTTAGATAAAGGGAATAGAAAGGATGGCGGATGAGGTGAATGTATCGATGATGAGTGTGCTGGCATGACTGTGGATTTCATACTTCAAGAACACGATGCGCGTCTCACGCCATGAAAACGTGTGAAAATTCGACTGGAATACGGTGTACAAGGACCACGTAGATTATCAAGATATCAGTAGCACATACAGTAACAGAACTTAGGATACGTGGTCTAGGAATGGCAATCTATAATGTGAAAGCTTGTATTGGGTACGGAAATACACTGTGGGTATAAAGCCATGCTAATGACGACCGTGAACCTGTAAAAAAGCCTTTGCTATCGCGAGCGTCGAATAAAGTTGTACGGAATGCATATGCCTGAGAAAGTGGAAAATGCCTGTAAAGAAACAAGACCCAGACTACGAACCGCCCCTTGGACTGCCCGAGGGCGCCTTGTTGACCAAACTGGAGAAGAAGGATCTCAGCTTCTCGTTGTCGTTGATGTTGGTATCCTGTGTTTTCGGAGGTGGTGTCTCAGGCTCGTCTGATCGGTTGGCTTGACGGTCCTGCGGTGAGGTTAGTATATGTTCATGATCTCCTCGGGAGAGATGGACTTGTGCTTGACGTACCTGTAGCCTCTTTACCATTTCATCGGCGTTGACTTGAATTCCACCCATGTTGAATTGTACAGGTCCAATATGCTCTTCAACTACTCCCGATGCGTCGTCGGTATAAGTCCTAGAGATTGACGGATCTTGCTCTTTGCGCGCAGCCTTCATGGCAGCTTCGTTCTCATCCTCCCGCCGCAGATTCTCAAGAACGTTGACTTGATCGGCGAGGAAGGCCTGTGGATCTTTGCTTGATACTTCGAGCCCGTTGGCTTGTTTCGACAAGCTGGAAAGTGCGTAGTCTGACTCGGGGTTGCGAATCGTCTCTTCGTAGATTGAGGTCGCCGACGGGCCCTCCTCTTCCTCTTCCGCTGGCGCGACCTGTGTCTCTTCGCCGTTCGGTTGAGCTTCTCCGTCGACGGGTGCAGGTACTTGGCCGTTGGTCGGCCGCATGTGCTGGGGAATGTCGATGTCAACACTCCATTTCTCGCTGATGCCCTCCACATCGAAGCCTTCTCGTAATATACGAATTTTCGCCCATGAGTCCCAGTTGGGTGGAACCAGTACGCGATCGCGATCCGTCACATTGTGCCTAAGTTGCTC